CTCGCAATAATGGCTATTATTCCCTCGGAATGTTACTCCCTCGCCGCTGACGCGGCTCAGTTCGTAATAATCCTCGGGAATAATATTGACTCGTGGTATAATCTACTATTAAATTAATTTAATATTTAGATCAAGAATATCCTCATTAAAATATAAAAGTTTTAATTATAAAACAGATTTTTGAATGACTTTAGAAACATGCTCTCCCTCAACCATCAAAACCTCAAGATTTTTGCTAATCCTTCTTTGTTCTAAAAATACATGATTTAGTCTAATACCTAGTCAGTTTAATTTTACCATATTCGCGCTTTCCATAGAGCATCATTTGGTTTTTTTCTGTGTAATTTTGGCTGAAGACCATGAGCAAATTAAAATACCTATATGGCTAGGAAAGAATTGGACGATCCGAAAAAGTCAACAGAAAGCAATTTCAGGATGCAGAAAATACAGAAATATTTGGGAAATTCAATTTTGCACTTATGTTAGCCATTTTTTCCCATCTTTCATCAGAGGAATCCAGAAGAAAACACTTTTAGGACTATTTGCTCTATTTTGAGCGAGGTTTTGAGATTTTCAGAATATGTCTAGGAAATTCAATTTTACGCCTATTTTGTTTTTTTTTTTCCATATTCCATGGGAAAAAGCCAGAAGAAAATAAATATTTGTGTGACAAATTTGGACCATTATGGGGTTTTTGATGCAATTTTGAACCCAAAAAAATAACGCCAAAGAAAGGATTTGTTCTCGGATTTGTTTGACTATAACGAGGGGTCAACCATTCACGAAAAAACTTACAGTGATTTCCAGTTTCTGGGAGTACTTCTCAAATTTGGACAGTAATTCCAAGTATTCCTCCTTGTATTCCCCGGTATTTCCAAGTAAGGTCGACTTGGCTAACTGACACAGCGAGGTAAATGGGCCATATGCTAATTTTTGGCTTATTATTGAAATTTGAATTTCCCCATAAAAAAATTTTACAAGTGTGTCTCATTCGTACCATGCATGTAGTAAAAAGAATGACGCTGGAGTAGTTTTTGAGAAAAACATTGAAATTCTGAGAAAAACCTTGAAATTTGTTTCTTTTACAAAGTGTATCATAAAATCAAGTGACAGAAGTTGGGATTTCAATCAATGGTTTACTGAGTGATTACCTAAGGTGATCACAGTTAATAATATTGCATCGAGCATGTTTAACCGTAATAGAAAGATATTGTGAAGGGAAGCCAGGTTTGTTCTTAGATTAGAATTTTAAGTGAATGAAACCCAGCTTGCGTTCCAGTTGCTCCGGTGAAAATATGTACAGAGGAAACTGGAACATATATGATGGGGCCAACTGGAACATATGTTCCGTTCCACCTGAAATCATCATTGTATTACATATTCTCGATTGTCCTAGAGCAAATATGGTCAGGAATTATATCCGTAGAACCTCCAAAAGTGCAGACGGGTGAAGATACACCAAGTTGGCGCTGAAAAACCCAATTGAAGATGTCCAAAACACTATGAGAACAATGTACGGTGCTGCCGTTTTCTATGACATCCACAATAAGTATCTTTGTATTTGGAACAAGAGGGAAAGGTATGTTGTCAGTAGGAGGTTGAGGTGGTGGAGAAATATATGAATGAAGTAGAAGAAGAACTGTCAACTGTGCTGAACACCATGCAGAAATGGAGATACGGATTACTTACAAAGAAAATAGGTTTATTATTTCATTTTCTGTTCACTTTACCCTTTTTATTAAACGTTATCTATTCACCACTAAGTAATACTTTTGTTGCATCTGCCATAATTCTCAAGCAAATCAGTTCAATCAATCAATCTTTACATATACATTACAATATGTTCCACTCGTCTCAGAATTATTACTATGTGAATGCATGAGAAAATAGGGGTCAATGTTTCAGTTGCCGCAAAATTAGGGTAACCAAAACAGTTGACCAAAAAAAATTGGAACACTCAACCAGAACAAAGTAAGGCACTGAACCAGAACAAACCAGAACGAACATGCACACAATTCTTGAGATTTTAATGAAAATGCCCAAAAATAAGTTGAAGGTGGGGTTGGAAGTTATAGAAATTTACAAATACTTCCATGGATTTCCAATTTATTCCCATATACTTCCAGAGTATTTCCATATACTTCCACCGTATTCCTGAGGATTTCCAAGTATTCCTAGGTATCTCCAGAGTATTACCAAGTATTCCTAGGTATTTCCAAAGTATTCCTAGGAAAGTGTACAGTGATTTCCATGAGTGTTTTACCCCTTGGACTATAGGCTCCAATTTAGACGCTTCTAAGCTTACCTTGGATGGATTTTGATTCAGAAAAGGTGTAATATCCGAGGTAATATCGCAAAAAATGTCTAGAAAATACAATTTTATACTTATTTTGGTCACTTTTTTTCCATATTTCATCAGAAGAAGCCAAAAGTACGCATTTCCAGGACAAATTTAAACTATTTTGTGATTTTTAATGCAATGTTGAACCATAAATACTTATACCCAGGAAAGGAAGGATTTGTATTATAAGCTCCAATTTGGGTCGTTTTTTGGTAAACGCGCATTTTAAGCCTTCTTTGGACAGATTTTGATTGAGAAAAAGTGAAATATTGTAGAAAATGTTATGAAAATTCAGTTTTATCCTTTATTTTGAGCAATTTTTCCATATTTCAAGGGAAAAGTCTAAAAAAAAATACTTTTAGGACCAAATTTGGACCTAGGGGTTAGTCACCACATTCGAGTGTACAAGAGATATCTTTATGCAGAAGATATCCACCGATTTCCCTTACACATCCCAGATTACCTGGGATCCTCTTAAAATTTCTTGAGATTTCCTTAAATTTCTCAAGATTTCGCTAGATCTTCCTAATTTATCAGGGATTTCATAGAAAAGGAGCACAAGTGCACAGTCAGAACTCAACTTTCGAGGTCTTCTCCTTAACACAACATGTGCATTTTCTCTTGATCTATTACTTTCCTGTCAATATTAAAGCTGCATTTATTACAATAATATGAGGTAGGTATAATATTTTTATTTCAGTGGAGAACCTGGTAACATGATATCATCTCGAATATTCTCAATCAATAGAAAATAAATTCTAAACGCGCGCACGGTCTCACTCAGCAAGATTTTCGTCAGATTTACCTGACATCTCCCATAGATCTCCTCAGATTTATATCCCCAGATTTCCACAAACCTCCCAAGAGTTTGGATAATATATCTCCTGCAGGGTTTAATGGAATATCCCGTTGTGAATGACTCCTCGATTTGGACCATTATGTAGTTTCTAGTGCAATTTTGAATCAAAAATGAAATTTCAGTTGTATTTTTGTTAAGCGGTCAATAGCCTACTTTGGATGAATTTTAATTAAGAAGAAGTGAAATAATGCAAAAAATGTCTATAAAATGCAATTTTATAGGCTTACTTTGAAATTTTTTTCCTATACTTCATGAGAAAAAGCCAAAACAAAGGACTTTTAGGACAAATTTAGTCTATTTTGTGGGTTTTAATGCAATTTTGCATCAAAAATACGCCTAGGAAAAGAATTGTACGAGAGGTTTACCCCAATGTATTCCATTGTGCAAGCCTCATGTAATCCCACATATTCTTATTTTCTCATGTAATCCAATGTATGCCGTATGCATTCCTCTGTATACTCATTTATTTTATTTGTGTTCTCGTGTGTATTCATTCAAAATGAAGTTCAAGCGCGTCCTCATCACTATTTTAAGTTGTCATTATCTGCGCAAGTCAAGCAAACATCCAGTGCCGCCAACTTATTCCTTTTGAGGTTGTTTTGGGCCTGTTCAACCTGAATTATGCCCCTTAAATTTACGTCCTAGCCCCTTGCAAGCTGATATTACAGAAAAATTCCTTATGTCAGTTAGGGTGAAGCTAAGGGAAAATATGTCATAACTAAAAAGTCCTCGTTTTGGTTGGCTTCTAGATGAATCCTCAGGTAAAGTAACTACAGACTCCGAAGATTTTATTCCAGCAATAAAACCCTGCCAAAATCCAGACCAGCTTGCCTCACCAAAAAACCTAGAAAAAGGAAATCATCTACATTCACAATTTTTGAAATCTGAGCTAGATACTTTTACTTGGCCTAAGGCTGACAACATTACTGAAGTAGATAAATCACACATATTGCATTTGCATGGTCCTGTTGAGGTAACGGTCCATTCCAAGTGAAAAAAATGATTGAACTCTTTCTTTCTTATGTATTCCTTGTAGTCCATGTATTCAGTGTACAGATTTGGCTGGCGGTTTACCTCTTGGAATTGTATGACTATAGGCTCCAATTTGGGTTTTATTTTTGTGAAATACGCATTCTAAGTCTACTTTGAATAGATTTTGATTAGGAAGAAGTAAAATATTGCAGAAAATTTCTAAAAAATTTAATTTTTCGCTTATTTTGGACACATTTCTGCATCAAAAACTGTTAACAAATACAGTGAGCTCTTTGAAGGAGAATTCATCATTATATGGTTCTTACAGAGGATCAGTGAAGGTTTATAGCCTATTGCTGATAAGATTCCTAACATTTGAGGAAAAGTTGGTAAAAACCTCAGCTGCAACATCAGGAATATATATTTTTTATTATTTTTGCCTCTTTTGATAAAAATTATGTTCCACATAAGTATACTCGGTAAGATTCTTTGCTGTAAGAATAGCTCTATCAATTAGTGGATCTCTTGGCTGCCCTGTATTTCATCTTCAAGTTTTTTAATACAATCCAACAACAAGATTCCCTATCATACCTATATCAAATTCACCCCTCAAAAAACTATATTTATTTATTTATTTATTATCATTGCAAACATACAAAGTATTAACATGTCACTGTCATGTTTCTTAAATTTTCATTAAACCAGCTTACTTCATGTGGCTGGTAGGTCTTTGCAGGAAAACTGCGATTCTCATGTTACACAAAATATTTACCTACATGAAAAAAAAAAAAGAATCTCATACCTAATACCTTTCTTTTTTTTTTCTAGGGCCATCATGGCGCTTCTCCCGCTTGCCGCAACCCTTTCGGCACAAACCCAACACTTAAGCAATCTTTCCTTTGTGGAATTCTATTTCGTCACCCACACCGAAGACCGTCAACCAAATGGATTCGGTGCAGCTGATGTGGAAACAGGAGCCGGTGTCGCCCCTCAATTTTGAGGTAGACTACTGTCAAATTTTACACTAGCAAATTAATTTGATTTAAATAATGTAGGAGGCTTCACTGCTCGACGACGCTTTCTATCAATCTTCTCTTTTTGACGACGTAAAACTCGAAAATGAACACTTCGAGAATTGCGAGTCCAAGGCCGAGGTCGCTTCTCTCATCCTGGAAAATTTGGAAAAGCTTGTGGATCTTGATGAACTTATTAAATCAGGTAGGTAAATTAAGGTTTTGTCTCAGGTATGCACCTGCATATCTATAAATAAAAAGAAAATTATTTTGCTTGATTATAAAATAATTCAAGATTAAAAAGTTACAGGGCGTTAATTTTATATAAATGTTTTTTTTTTTTCTAACCACCTTAGTAACTGCATCAAGGTCGCCTACTTATCAATAAGAAATGGCAAAGTGAATTATTGAAATAAACTGTTAACAGATACGCATGCATATTTACAATGTTTTTAATTAAAATTGAAAAAGGTGCCGCCTTCCAGCTTATTAGATAACAGCTTTTTTTTATGAATACAACAAATTTGCTGATTGGATTAGAATTTTGTATTTGCTTGTTATCAGATGTCTGTAGCAAATAATACAAATTGTCCACTCAGTTTGTAGGTCAAAAGTTTTCTCTATTTTCGGTGTTTGTACACAAGAAAAATACATTCTCACTCACAAACATCATTGATCTTTGATCTTTTTCTCGAAACTGATACTTTTAACTTATAATGTGGTAGTTTCAATATTTTGATGATTCAAATCTATTTTCGATTCATAAAAAGATTGTGCAATTCGAAAATAATGGAAATCTCCAAAATTAATTTACATGTTTTTCAAAATTGAAGGTAACACTAATCTACGCGGTTCAGTTCTTCAGGTCATGGCGTTATTAAAACTACTTAGATTATCATAAAGTTATCTTCTCATTAGTATTTTTTTGACCACATTTTTTGGATTCGATATCAATCGTAAATGGGGACAGTTTACATTAAACTGATTAACAAGTGTATGCGTATGGGATAAATATTAGGGTGCATGATCCAACAAACAGAACCGGAGTAAGGAGAATAATTAGTAGAATTATGTGATTGTCTCAGTTACTGTCCCCTTTGTGTAGATTAGTTGCATTACTCCTTTCTGCAAATATCTTCACATACAGTTGCTAGTGGAAAACTCCACCAATCATGGTCCTGTTTTGATTACATCCAGGTTCCTTCAAGATAAAAATGCTTATTTTGGCCATCTCCTGGGTGCATCTTGTTAAAGAACATTCTACATCTTTATGGAAGTCTTAAGACCAGTCATTTATTTTTATATTTTAAAAAGGTGTAATCACTTTTGTATTAGTGTGAGTGTGTCAAACATATTTCGTATTTTTCTCTTCATTTGAATCATGGTTTCTCAAACTTTAACATGGTAGCAGAGTGTTAAAAGAGGCGAGAAAAATTAAGAATATCAAGGGCTGAATTAGTATGAAAAAGTAGTCATTGAACTTTGAAGGATGAATCCAATCAAAGTTCATAGGTATAGGATTACTGGAAGGTAAAGCTAATTGGACCTCATGAAAGTACAAAATGAACGTTTTTCTAAGAGATATTCCAAATGCAGTTGATATTTTGGAAAGAAAGTTTTTGCTCCCAGTTTTGAACGAAAATGCGTTAGCAGTTGAAATTGCTGCGCATGAGGCAAGCCTGGTGAATTTCAAAACTGCAGATTGTAATGCACTTCTTGCTCTCACGATAAATATGACACAAGATACCTTAGAAAAGTTATGAGGTTTTCTACAGCAAGAGAAGTTGGGTTGAATTGATGGCAATGTGGAGGACAAAACCTATGATGTTTGCTTAGAATTCTTCAACTATAAGAAGAAAGTTGAAGATGATATGGCAACGCACACGTCTAAGCTCAAGAATCTGTGGAATGAGCTGCAAAAAGGGTTATCAAAAGACAAAATTATTACAAATAAAACATGTAATTGTGAGTTACCTGAGTTGCTGTTAGTCTGTAAGATTTTAGAAACTACCCCAAGACTACTTCTCCTTCAAGTTAAGCTGGATGTTAATGTAGAAATCTGACAGGACTATAGACCGTTTAACAAATCAGCTTTGTTCTCACGAGAAGGCATTATGAAACAAGAATAATGAAAGTCATCAGGAGGCGGTACTTGCAGAGAAGAGAAGTAGCTCGACTAATAAGAGAAAACTAGTTTGGAATTATTGCAAAAGAGAAGGTCATAAGGTCAAACAATGTATTAAATGGAAAGAAGATGGTAGACCTCCAAAACCAGAAAGCTCAGATTCAAGAAATAACAGCAGACATAAAAATAAGGATACAAACATGATGTTAGTTGCCTTAACAAGTAGTGTCTTATTTAGCGAATGTGAGGAGAATAGCTGGTTTATCGATAATGGGGCTACAAGTCATATTACAAATCGAGGTGATATCTTTGAAAAATTTGAATATCTTCAAGATACGCACACCATAACGACAGCGAATGGAGCAGTTGGAAAAGAAAACGTTCTGGTACAAACAAAAGTTCCAGACAGAGAAGATGTTTTGACCTTATCAGACGTATGGTACGTTCCTCTGATTAAAAATAATTTATTTTTGGTTTTACATGCACAAGAGTTACAGCCTACATCAAAGTTTACTTCAAGCACTAAAAAATGCAGTTTTATAGTTGGTGGTAAAACCATACTGACAGGTGAAAGAAGTAGATTTGGAGGACTATACAAATTAGCATTGCAGATCATAAAGCCAAAGGAAACAGCTCAAATCAACCTAGTTTCAAATGATAACTTATTGCAACTATGCCATGAACGCTTTAGTCATCAAAACAAACGACACATCAGAGATATTTTGAGTCGTGAGTTTGACCTCAAAGTGACCTTGGACTGCGAAATATGTGAGGGTAGTATTTATGGTGAAATGCACAGGAAAAAGTTTGGAACGAGAGAAACAGCAAAGGTACCAGGAGAACTCTTACACACAGATGTTTGTGGGCCTTTTGAAAAATCCAAAAGTGGCTATAGATACTTCGTGCTCTTCAAGGATGATTTCAGTCGTTATTATCGTTATGTTTACTCTGTGAAAGAAAAATCTGAAGTTGCGGAAAAACTGACAATTATGTTAACTGAAGTAAAAACAGTAGGATATACAGTAAAAGAGCTACTCTCAGATAATGGTGGAGAATTTGACAATGGTCTAGTAAAAAAAATCTACAAGAAAGTGGAATCAAGCAGACTAGTAATGCCTTATACACCAGAGAAAAACGGTTGTGCAGAGCGAGATAATCGTACTATCGTTGAAACTGCTAGATCCATCATGCACATTAATTAAGATCTTTCACAACTTTTTTGGGCTAAAATAATAAATACATTGGCGTACATTTTGAATAGGACTGGTAATTTGAGTATCGAACGAAAATCTCCATTTGAACTGTGGTATGAGAAAAAGCCTTCTTTAAAACACATGAGAATTATTGGAACATCCTGTTATGCCCATGTACCAAAGTCAGGAAGAAAGAAAATTGATGAAAAGGCAGTGAAAGGCAAACTTGAGATGGCCCTGAGAATATTCTCCAAAGAACTTCTATTGAGAACAGATAATTTACCGAAAATATTCTTTCGTCTTGAATTCTCGAGAATTTATTTAGATTCGAGAATTTATGAGAATATATGGTAATTTTCGAGAATTTTTGGGAAGTTACCTGTAATTTTTTAATTAATCACCTTGTACTTACTATAGTAATTTCCTCGGTAATTTCTTTCGTTCTGAACAAGTGAAACTGAATTAAATGAATCTGAGCAAAGATGTTTGTTTGCATTCTTCGTAAATGAACGAATTGATCGGCCATCCGAAGTTGTGCTTTGGGGGGAAAGGGGTTAGCAAACATTCGTATACTATTCAGTTTAGAAGGTGGCATGGGGGAACTAACCGGAGACGAAAGAAGAAGCCCACGGGTGAACGCAATCATATAAAGTGATAAAGCAATCAGTTTGTATAAGTTCAGAACGAAAGAATACACCTATTAACAAATGGCGCTAGGTTCGTAGTGAGGTTAGGCTGAAATGAAAAACGGAAAACAGTGAGTCTGGGTAAATCCGGTAAATCCCCCGATTCCATAGGCGTTTTCGATTAGTAGATTAGATTCAATGCGCACTGGTGCCACTAAGTACTGAGTGTATTTCCATTTCCAGCTCTTTCTCTCAGCCTGTTAAAGAAAAAAATAGAAACACAAACACATTTTCTTCGAGTATTTCTACCAACCAGAACCGCTAACGCTAGTTTTGGGGAAATTCCTTCGAAAATGAAACCTAGAGGTTTGATATGGAAATATGTCAATATAAGGACAACAAATTTCAATGTAAATTTTGTGAGTTTGTGTACCAAAAAAAAAATGCAAATAGCCCCAAATGATGTGAAGAAGCTATATGTTCTTCGAAATTCTCCAAAGTTCTCCAATGTAACCGTGAGTAAAAAACTCGGTGATAAAAACCCTGAGAGAAAAACTGTTATAACACGCTGTATTTGCAATTGAACCATAGCTATAGTGAAGCACTTATGAATAGACACTAGAAAATTAAATTAAGATGTAACTTAATTAGTCTCAAATAGCAAATTTACTTGATAAAAAAAAAACTATAGCTCTGGAAAATTATTTTAATAGAAAAATTGAACAATAATGTATTTATGATAATAATTAATCAAATTAGAAGATAAAGCTTTAATAGTAATTAAAGAAAATGTGCCTCGAGTTTGCATTAATAATTTGAGGTTATTACCTGTTGGAAATAGGGTTTTGTTTGCCTGGAAAATACTCTGGAAATCTGGTTCGAGGTCTGGATTGGATATCTTGGAGTGAGTGAGATGTTATTCTACTCTTCAGGGAAGCTTTTCACTAATGATTAAATGGAAAAAGTCAGAATCTACTGTAGAAAAAAACGTGCAAAGCAACTTACCGCATGGAGTTGTAAAAATCCTAATTAATCGGCGAAAATTATAACACTCTAAGAAAACGTAAGGCAACAAGGCAACTAAATGTGTTACAAATTCAATAATTGAGAAAATAAGGTCGAAATCCCACAAGGGCAAAGACAATCTTCAAAAAAGACCTTATTTCTCCAACATCCAAATGTGAAAAGAAATGTGCTACACATAAAATTAATTAGCTGACCTGAAGGTAGGGATTCAGAATAACGACTACCATCAAAAATT